ATTATAGTTTTATAATTAAAAAATATTTCTTTATAATAATATTATATAAACAAAATATACAAATTTTTAAAATTTTTTTATATTTAATATTAAAATATATTATTTTGCACATATGCATAGAGATGCATAGTTATACTAATTATATAGTTGATAATCATAAAATACAGTAGTAAGATCAGGTTTATTTGTTTAAGTTTGTTTTGATAAATTGAGTGATCAATATAATCAATATACAAGAATATGAATAAATAGAAGTTCGATTAGAGTTTAATAAACTCTTTTTGCTTACTATTCTTCTTATAAAATATGAGGAAAAAATACAATAAAAGCAATAATAAGAAAGCAGTTAGAAAATAACAACTAAAAGAAAAACAAGTACAAATTACCTACTTTGAGTAAACTCTATCATCTTTGCATCAGTTACATTGTAGTTAGATTGGTTTTTTTTTCTTTGTTCACTTTGCTTTGTGTCATTCAATATCTAATGCATTGTATTTTTTTTTTTTTTGGTTACTTTGCTTTATGTTGTTCAATATCAAATATGTTATATATTTGTTATATTATTTAACCAACTTGAATTTTTTTTCTATTATTATTGTTATTAGTTGTATTGTAATTATATATGTATTTTTTTTTCTTTAATCACTTCACTTTATATCTTTTAACATTTAATGCATTGCACTATTTTCTTTGGTTACTTTGTTTTGTATTGTTCAACATCTAATTTGTTGAATTATTTTTTTTGTTTAGTCATTTCATTTTATATTGTTCAATATCTAACATGTTACTTCTTTTTGTATCATTTCTTATCTAACTACATGATTTAACTGACTTATGTTTTTTCTATTATCTTTTATATTAATTTCATTGTAGTTAGGTATATATGCTTTTTTTTCTTGATCATCTGACTCTTGTATTATTCAATATGATTAGTCTGTTACTATGATTAACTTTTTTTTATTTTATTTAATTTATTTATTACAGCAATATAATTGATGAGGATGGTTTTTTAAATATTAACATGATTAAAGAAGCTGAGTTTGAAGAAGTATTTTCTAGAGATAAAGTGCCTCAAGATAGCAATAATAGCAAAACCCAAGTAGTCGAATCTAACTAGCCTGACTTTTTTTCTAATGAGATTGCAAATTCTGACTTGTTCAGTGAGAAAGTTTTTTTAACATAGAAAGAATATGATCTATTTCTTAATGAATAGTCAAAAAAAAAGGCTTTTATATGAAGAAAGATCATATGCAATATGAAGAAAGAATTATTCGATGATGACATATTTGTATGATTATAATAGTTCTTATAATTCTAAATCAAAAAAGGTTACAGTAACAAAAAAAACTTAATGTCTATTTCTTATTAATGTTTTATGTCCTAAATTTAAAAATCTGAATTCTAGAGTTTAAGTTAATAAAGTTAATAATGAATATAACTATCATTTAAATATTAAAATAATTGCTTTTAAAAAAATAAAAAATTTTCACCTGAAATGATTGAAGATATTAAGTTTCTAACTACATATTGTAAATTCAGAGTAATAGTCTAAAGGAAATATTTAGAAAGAAAATATCCTTCACAACCTATATATAGCAAGGATTTGTATGCAATTATTCAAAAATTTAGATCTACTTCTGAAATGTTATTGAATGATACAGCTTCAATATCTAATTGGTTAGATAATAAAAAATATAAGGATTCTTGGTAGATTATTGTAAGAGAATGAAATGATAACAATTCACTTACAAAATTATTATAGATTATCTTTTAGCAAGTTGAAAACTGGATCTGATTTTTAGATTGCATTTTAAATAATGTAATATACAAAACTAACTATTATGGTATAGTTTTGTTATTGTTCATAGGATTTAGTAATTATCAGAATAATATTGTTCTTGCTTAGATACTACTTCCTAATGAAAGCTTAGAATCGTATATCTGAGCATTTAATAAAATATTAAAGGCAACTAATAGGTAGCCTGCTATAATAATGACTAATGCTAACCTTGCAGTTAATTCTGCAATTAATCGAGTTTTTTCTCAAGTATATCTAATTCATTGTGTATTCCATATAATTCAAAATATCAATAAACAACTAAGAAGAGTTCTTGAAGATAATTTTTCTAAGTTCTTTGAGGCATTTTATATATGCTGAAATAGTTTTACAAATAAAGTCTTTGAAAAATAGTTTAAAAACCTTCACCAAGATTTTTTCTGTACTAATTCTTACCTGGATATACTTTATCAAACTAAAACCTATTAGGCATATAGTTTTATAAGCTATAAGTTTATGGGTAGAATAATTGCTACTTTATGAGTAGAATCTGTTAATGCAAATCTGAAATACCTTTTACATAACTCAAATATTTCTTTATATAAATTGATAAATAAAATTCATTAACTTTTGAATATGCAAAATAAGTGAGAAGAATATAACTTTTGGAAGCTTTCAATTCCTTGTATAAGTAATAAAAAAAAGACAAATTTCTTATTTAAAATAATAGATAAATGTTTAGAAAGATTTCTCACACCTATAATTCTTCAAAGGCAAAGAGACAAAATAAACTAATTAGTTTATTATGATGCTACTATACTTCAAGATAAAGATTTAAAAGTATATATATATATTCAATTGTATTTATTAGAGTTCCAATCTGGATAAATCTGCTATTCATTTATCTATATCCGAATTTATCCAGATATCCATTTACTATTGGTATCTGAATAATCTGACAAATATTCAGATAATTATCCAGATATCAATAGTAAAATAGATACCCAAATAAATTCAGATCTGGATATCCAATAGATAAATGGATAAACGGATAATGGATCGGAACTCTAGTATTTATACATCTTATAATAATAACATATTTAAATTTTAAAATAGGAATATTATGCTAATAATTGTGAAACTGAAATTTATGATATTACAAATATAGAAATACAACAAATTATATTGAAACAGGTTATTGATTTTGTGGGAGGTTAGCTAATATTGTTAAAATATGTCTGTAGCAGTTAGCAATATAGCAGCTATGAATTATTACATAGTTCTATTAAATAATTATTTATATATTTATACATGTTTATCTATTATTCAACAAGGCATAATTTGTAGGCATTATTTTTGAATTATGCTTATGACCAGTATTGCAAAATTTCATATTTGTCTTATCTCTTCTTGATGATATTATCAAGACTTTGATAGTTCTAAAGAATCTTTTTTTATAGCAGAAAAGTTTATCGAAAAAGATAGAACACTGTTATAATATGAATTACCTATGCATATTAATTATTTATATACATTTTAAAAAGTTAATCAAGACTTTCTTGAAGAAAGCCTTAATTCATCTCAACAAAAAATAGTTTATAGAAAGTTACATAGAATGTATAAAAAAGCTATTCAAAAAGTATTACAAAGTAAACTAAGTCATAATAGCTCATTGAACTATTATAAGATTTTATGGAAAGGAACAATAAAGAGTCTAATGAAGAAATTGAAAAAAGTGATGAATCTAAAAAAGAAAGTGACAATGATCAAGAAAATCAAGAAAACCAAAATATTGTGTTATTAAATCTGAAAGTAAGATATGGAAAAGGTCAACTATTTGGAAGTAAATATTTAAAATCATCACATGAACAAAATATCAAGGAAAAACAACAAAGGCATTGCAAAAAATGTAGTGAAGTAGGTTATTATCAAAAAAAGTGTAGTAAAAGGTAGATTTATTACATAAATAATATATACTTGTAATAAATTGTTTGTCTAGATTAATAATTTATTTGATTAAATATGCTTAAATATTAATAATAGTTGCTAAACTAATATTATAGCTATTACATATATAAATACTAAAGTAAATACTAAAATCAATATCATAAAAAAAAATGGCTTAAGACTGATTTAGATACTTTTTAACTCGAATATAATCTATATTTTGTTATCTCTTTTATTCTGTTAATACCAGACTATATAAATAATAAGAAAGCTAGTACTTTATTAAAACAAATAGGCTATTTTAAGATATTAGAGTTAGGGCTTTATTTATAATATTGCATATCTAGTATTAGGTAAAAATAAAAAGTGAAGCAGAGCTAACAAACAAAGTGAAATGAAGCTAACAGATAAAGTAAAGTGGAGCTAACAGACAAAGTGTTATATTGTTATAGAGTTTAAAGTTATTAACCTTATAAATATGATATATATTCATAAAACTAATTACTTTAGAATATAACTAATAGTTAGTAAATAAAGCTATTGTTATAAAATAAGTTTCAATTATCTTATTTTATTATTTTATTTTATTATTTTATTATTAGTATTTTTATAAATAGTTAGTTTCTTGAATGTACTTTATTAT